CATCACACCCAAGCAGCTGTTTTCGCCTTTCGCGATTACATGACACTGTGTCGTCTCTACATCTCGTCTGACGTGACATCGGTCAAGGGGCGGAGACGCGAACTACGGCAACAACAGGGCCGCCACTATGCCCTGGACGTCGAAATTGGGGGAGTGAGAGGGTCCCTTTTACAACCCATGGCGGCCGCTGGGTATTAATAAGGTAAGAACTCAATAACCTTTTTTATCGTGAACGGTGCCTTTAAGATATTTTTTCCATTCAAAAATCAAAAGCAGTTCCTGGAACCAGCCATATGAGCTGACCAGAAAAGCGAGAAATCTTACCAGCAAGAAGATATTCGCTGCCAACTTTCAACTTGATTCCACAAGCTGTACTACTCGATGGAGTGTAGATGAATGCAGGTAATTGGGTGATCGATTGTGGCTTCTAAAAAAAGATCGAAAGTAAAGAAATATTTACCCAGTGGGACGAAAGGATAGGGAGGCTGAAGAGAAATATGCTAAAACTGGTGCTTATCGATCTTGTCAGTTCACAAACGGAATATTTGACGCTGAATAATGCGTCATTGTTAAATAAATTTGAACAGAATTCAGCAAAACCTTCCCTGATTATAGCACTGCACTTACATTATTGAATGGAGATATGAACTATGAAGGAAGGATATGAGGGAAGGATCTATGAACCAGCTTTTTACCACGGCTAGCGATTCATGCCCAGTTGAGGTTGTGGGTATCTTGCATTTTGTGAAAGGCCTACACCGCGACACATCCCGAATATCGTCTCGCACCCCGATCAGTAGGTGTTCCTGATGGCACTGGGCGTTCTAAGCAAGCTTAAGTACTTCTTTCCAAATATCTTTGCACGCATTTGAGCCTACATCGCTATTCCTTTCCTGGCTAGATTTGATTTTTTTACCATCGTATCGAAAAATTCGATCAGTTTCCTACCCTTCTCCGATGAGAAGATTTTCCAGTGAGCAGAACACTCAAAGAACACACTAACGTACCTTGAAAACATCAATGTGTTGCAGTACGTAGATTTTATCACCGTTGGGGTCAGGATTCTTTTTCCTTCCGAGAACCATAACATGAGAAACTGCGAAAAGATATTTTTAGTTAAATTTGATTTCTTTAATCTTTTGCCTGATACCACCTATATTTAAAAAAGCCCACAAGAAAAGATGGCATCCTTCAAAATAGATTGAGAATGAATTCCTCCAAAATGAAATAAAATTCCTTCCCCTCGATCGGAATCAATGCTACGTACTACGTAGATAACCTTACTTCATTATTGTTCTTATCTTGTAAAGTAATGTAGATTCATAGCGCTGGATAGCGACAATGGTTTTTCAAAGGGTAAGTTGGAAAGAGAGTTTGCGCTTTCGAAGTTAAGCTAGAAATTGAGTGGTGTGTCATTGGTAAAGCTTATGTAATGGTAGCAAGGCGAAGGGTCCAAATATGGCTGAAATGCCAATACTATCTCTTGAATATTCAATCTACGCATTTCGGCACAGCTTTCTCATATTTTTCTTGGGTTTTCGTGGAAATTGATCAAAATAAGACAAGTACATTACTCACCCCAATCCGCCTTACAAAAAGATTCCTTCGTGCCTTGCGCAGGCGTGCAGAAGCATGCCATCGATGAAGCTATGCAGAAATAGAGTACTAGTAAGCAGATCATTCTGGAACAGCTATTCGACATTGGCATTCGACGCAGCCTAAAAGAAAGCAGCACCAAAAATCACTGCATACATAATCTCGATAACATACGCCTCTTTGATATAACATAGAACAGAAGTCCGGTATGATTAAAGTAAACAGACCAACGCAATCCTTCTTCCAGATGACAAAAAGGATTATGCAAACCCCCTCCTTCCTGTTTACGTGATTTTCTATGCAGTGATGCTCGTGACACAATATTTTAGTTGTTGTTGTTTATCCACTCGCAAATCAGAGACCATCTTACGAATCTCGTTTGACTTTCCTGCAAAACCACAAAGTAGAGTAGAAGAGGAAGCATCCTGATTAACTAATCATGCCAAGACCACAAGAAGGTCGACCATGAACTACATAGTAGAGTTTTATTCAAAATAGTCTTGGTACATCGATCCCTGCATTCCAACTGAATAGGAGAATGTGTGAGGAAAACACATCTGGAACAATACATATCTCAAAAGTGCTACATAGTTAGTGCTTTCACCCTCCCAGAGAAGTCTGGCACCAGTTTACCTGCCCCGGAGGGTTTAAAAACTAGCTTGGAAACGAGCGAGTAAAGGAATTTGAGTTGTGTCAACGAGCTCAAGCACCATGAAAGTTCTGAAGCCAAAGTATGGGTCGTTTTTAGATGTGGTCACAACACATCAGTGAGATACCTGGTAAGCATTGTCCCCGCATTAAATCGGTTTTCACCGAAATTTTAGAGTTCAGTCAGTAGGATACCTTCACAGCATCCATTCCTTGCAAGTACCGATTCGAAAATTTCCCTCGGTGAAAAGTTCGTTGACGAGGCAAGGCCTCTGTACAAACAGTCTCCTGCTGCGATCCACACAACCAAATCAACAAAAACCGATTAATATTGGTATAAAGCGCTGCATAACTTGTTTTCGTCAAAAGTTTAATTCATGTTAAAAATGGCTTCTGAAGTTCCTCCTTTGGATGAACCTGTGGCTCCCAAGGATAGCGACGAAAACGCTGAAGGTCCTATAAACTGCCAAGATAAGGCGTAATAAAGAACCTAGAATCGACCTAAAATCGGCTCACCCGGCATACACACAAAAGGTGGACGATTATTCAGGCATTGAA